GTCATGATAACGGCCAGCTTCAGCTCGTGGACTGGGCACATTCCCAGATGCGCTATCGAGGGTTTGTGGCAGACGACGAGCGTGTCAAGTGTCAAGGGCCGAGTGAGATCAGTCAATCGAATAGAAGAGGCGCGAGACCAAGAGGGCCAAGTGGTTTGCCGACTAAAGGACGCAAGAAGGTGTGCTAAAGGCCCACTAAGCCGGCTAGCGGAGGCAGCCTACGGGGCGTCCGAAGGTGAAAGGGGAAAAGCTACGGTAAGAGTGGGATATGAGGATAGAGGCTGGCTGCTAATCGTCCAGCTCGTCTCTCTGACATCGAGTCTTTCCCAGGACTGGCAAAACGCATTGACGATGCCTGCGAGACGCGTGAGAATCTGCCAAATCCACTGTCCGATGGTGACAATTTGAATAAATACTATGGCAGAGAACCTTGGGGAAGATGGGTTCATCTGGATCGCCCTGGCATCACTATCAAGTGGCGAAAGCGAGGTCAGACGCAGCGAAAGGAGTCTGTGACTCGAATAAAAGCTATACCACCCTGGATATGCAGACTGGTGGCTTTTGAGAACGTTGGCGCAGATAGGAACCTAGGGGCGGTGGCGCTCTGTATCGTCATGACGGGGCAGATTCAAACAAGACCAGCCCTAATTAGAGGCACAGGCTGACGAGGTTGGAGGAGCTGAAAAGGCGCACGGGCTGCCAGGAAAGACGGTAGTCGCGCCGAAGTCACGACGCTTGAAGTGGACCGGGCAGGCGCCTACCTTAATCATCGATCGAGATTGTTCGAGATCGCAAACAGGCCACGCCGGCTTGTCTAAGAGGCAGAATTTGCATTGTGTTTTGAGCTCGCCGCGTCAGACAGCTTCTAGCCTCGGTGGAGTGCATGTGTGGACGTGTGCGCACGCGAGTCTGTGCATGCGTGTACACGACCGAGAGGCGATATATGCAGTATTGCGGACTAGCGAGGTATTCGCTTTCTATCATCGATACGGTGACCTCAGCTTAGCTTAGTCACGTGAGCAAGGCTATGGGAAGCGCAGCTCGGCGAACCGAATATGCCAAGCGGTGCTGGAGGCTAAAGCCTTATCGAGTAAACGAGGCTATGAAGAGCAATGACGAACACACTTCATCGCTCATTTCTTGTGCACCTGTTCACTTCTGACTAATCCAAAACGTCCTGCAGACGCCTTTGTACGGTCTTGACTTATTATTTTTTATATTCGTAATTGAGTAGGGTTTCGAGACGAAGGCGGCCATTCACATTCAATTAGATCGAGGCGTCTTTCGGCCTCACTCCTATTTTGATGGTAAGTGTGAGATGCTCAGACTACAAGGTCGGCATCACCAGAAGATAAAGGCTGACTCCTCTTGTCTGCCCTTCTCGAACATTCTGGTTGACACGGTCTCAGAGAGAGACTATTTTCTATCTCCGAGTGGCCCTAGTTCTGTGTGCACCAGCAGATGAGCGTGGCTGACGGGTTATCAGCAATGTTCGATGCGTATTCATCGAACACTGATGTTTTACTACAAGAAACCGTCCGTCATAATATTAAACACGCCAAGAGGTTTCAGCTTAGCTTCGTAATAAGTTATTTAGCTTACTTCCATTTAGGGTGAGTGTTTAATGTAGAGATTCGAAGGTCGATTCCACCAGAAAACGACGGCGGATTCCTCTTGACCAGCTGTCGATTGGCTTTGATGGGACTTTCATGTTGACGCTGTTTCCGAAGTAATCTCCCTCGATTCCGGTGAAAATGTTTTAGGCTTTCATCCCTCATATGATGAATACCATCAGAGCAAGGTATAATCGAAAAAAGCAAATTCAAGCCAACTAGTCAAGAAAGCTCACCGGCAAATCCCCCAAAAGCTGTATG